ATATGTTAAATATATATTAATAAATAAAATTTCTTAAATTAAAATGCTATAAATGTTAACATAAAAATTGACATGTAAAATTTGCTGTTTGAATCATTTTAAGGATGTATTTATTAATGATTCAAGGATTTAAGTCCATTTACTACAAAATGCTTTTTAATTTAAGCCCTTAAAATACTTTTAAAATAAAAATTTAAGTTTGAAAAAATACACATGCTTAAGCAATAATATGTGATTCCTCAAGACTAGGCAATGGGATATGATTGATGAGCAATGATAATATGTGATGCATCACTAATACATCATCTTGAGAGCTATGGCCATCTCCAATTGTACATAAGCTGAGCCATTCTTGTAAGGCTCATTGCAACTTCAATTAAAGTTTGAGGGAGAGGACAGGACTCAAATTCATCTTTATTCATCTTGTTTTGTGTTTTATTATTCAAATTCTTTATATATTCATTAGCTCTTCTTTGAAAGCTCTAGTTTCATTCATGTAACATTGAATGATTTTGAAACATCACCTCTTCTTATTTCATCCTGAAAAAAACAGAGGGATTATAAGTCATGCGCATGTGAAAATAGCTGAAACCAAGAGAAAAAATGAGACAAAGAGTACATACAAGCAATGTTCCCAAATCATCTGTAAGCTTTAGTACCATTAACAAACAATGAGTTATATTGGGCAATTCTTCCTCTAGATATTACAAGACATTAGTTGTTATGTGATTTGAAGAAAAAATCTAAGCATGCAACAATACTAGAGGTGCTAATATTAAAATGATAGCAATGAACTCCAGCAAAGATTGTGTGCATCCTTGGTGGTACCATTTTGCCCTTATCAAGCAAGTTTTACATAAACATAGCCACTAAGACAAATTAAGATTGAAAAATCAGTTAGAGAAAATAAAGACAAAAAAATTAAAATTGTGAGAATTAAGTAATGATCCTACTTTCTTTGAGTAAGGAAGGATGTTTATTCCTTGACCTGGCTACCTATGTTAGAATTGTTTGGATTCATATCCTGGATTAGGTCCCAATTTAATATACTTGATTAAGAACAATAAGAGCTTGTATTCTTGTTTGGGAAAATACCAAAAGTATGCATCCTTATTATTCTTTTCTTTCTCTCTCTCTCTTTTGTGCACCGCCAAAAAAATATTATTCTTTTTTGTAGCCCATATTTTCCATATGGGATTTCTCATTGGAAATTAGAAATGACAACAGGCCTTTCTCGAAAAAAAAGGGAAGAAGAAGAAGAAGAAAAGAAAGAAATAAAGAATGACGATAGGCCTGAAATAAGATGGACTTAGCCTGAAAGCTTTAAAATGTAACTACTATAGTATTTTCCTCTAAGAGGTTGATATGACACAAATTTCCTTGCAACAATAAAATGATATAGACAACAACAGTTATTTTCTTTGGAGTCAACAATGTCTGAAATTAATTTAGTACCATTTCCCTTCAAGAGTTGTCATCTCCAATGATTATTGACGTAGCAAAAACTTGCTTGTGAAGCTACCTTCGTTGAAAATTAACATAACAAAGCCATTCCACTTTAGGAAATGGGATTCACAACCAAAGCTAATATGTGGTTTCTAGTCACTTGATATGGATAACTATGTCCATCTCCATACAAATACATGAACTGAGCCATCCTTGCAAGGTTCATTGCAGTTTCAATCAATGTGGGTGTGAGAGAAGAGGTCTTGAGTCAATCTTTGTTCATTTTTTTCCATATTATGTCAATCAAATGCCAAATATATTCATAAGCATCTCCTTTAGAAGCTTCAATCTCATTCATGTAACACTAAATTGATTTGGAAACATCACCTCTTTTCATCTCATCGTAAATCAAAATTAACAAACGTGACCATGAGAAGAACATGAACAACAAGTCACCTATAGAAGAACCAAGCAGAGAGAGGTGTATGATAAGCACTACCCTTGATGTTCCCAAATCATCTACAAGTCTCAATAGCATTGCTGAACAGTGAATGACATTATACTCCTGTTCAAAGCATTCCAAGCCTTCCCTCATTATTTGATTTTAAACAAGAACATAAGCAAAATGTAGTATTACAGGTGCTGCTATGGTAACCACAGCATTGTCTAAGTACTCTTGTAGAGTCGGTGTGTATCCAGTATGGTACCACTTTGCCTCTAACAAATAAGCTTTATATAAATCTGTCCACTGAGGCATTTTTTAGAATGACAAGTGAGTCAGAAAAAATTGCATAGTGATGAAAAAATTTTAAAAATTCAAGAAAAAAAAATATGATTGTTACCATTTTTGAGTAAGAAAGGATGTTTAGTTCTTGTTTCCTAAAAATGTCAGCAGCCATTTGATTTATAGAGTTGTGCAACTCAAAGAAACATAACTTCATGTAATCTGGGAGCTTTTTAATTCTATTGATATCCCATTTGAAATTAAAACTTAAAAAGTATACATCGAGACATAAATATATGAGATTAGTCCACACTTAAATACAAGACATAAAATGACATGTTAGTCTGACATATTGGTTCGAGTAGAAGAAACTCAATTCCTCTTAAGTAAATTCTTGAGTTTAAGTCTTGTGAATGAAGAAACAAGCACTAAGAGAGCTTTCCTTAATGGGGTCTAACTCAGCTTAACTCCAAATTAGTTGAAGTTTAATGTGGCTTCTGGATACCAAAAGGTTAGTAAAAGAAAAAAAACACAAGATGCAGATTTAAAAAGGTGATTACTAACTTGTAATATCCCAAATTTTCTAAAATTTTAGACGTATATATGTATACATGAATACATTAGTACAAGTGAAATTAAATTTAAGTTAGGGATTTATATGGGAGGAATTATTATTGTTAGATCTAATGACTGAAATTTACAAACCTAAGGGGGGATAAAAGTGAAATTTGGTGATCAAAAGGGGGGTTAAGGTTGATTTTCCTTTTTCTCCTTGCCCATTCCTACGCCCAACAGCTTCTTCCCATTAGAAACAAGGTGAGACTTAGCTTTTCCTTCCTTTTCTTATCAAGATTTAGAGATTTATGAGCTTGTGGTTCTCAAAATCATGATTCAAAACTAGATCTTGCTGTTGCTTCTCCAAATTTTTCTGGTCCATGTTAGGTTCTTGTGCAGTGGAAGGGAGGTTACCATTTTTTAGCACTTTCTGGTAAGAAATCAGTTATTTTGCTTATCTTTTCATCCTTAATTTAAATTGGGTTAACTCTAATCTTTTAAGGTTTTCAATTTTGGGATTTTTTTATAGTTTTCCTCCTTGGTTTTGCCCTAGTGCCACCAAATTTGATTCCTTTTGCTAGAAATTTTGATAGCATGACCTTATAGTAGTTTTTTGCCTATAAGTCTTTCTATAGATATTAGATTGAGTTCATTTTTAATTCTATAGAAAGTTAAGAGATAGCCCCACAATTTTTATGTTAGATATTTAACCTAGTTAATCTATTTTCATGGTGAAAACTCTACTGCAACTTCAATTCTCGCAGGCAGATAAAACTGGAAGCCCAACCCTAAGTTAGTATTTTGGCCATAACTTTCTCTGTAGATGTTAGATTAAGGTGATTCTTGATCCTATGGAATGGTAAGATATAGGACTACGATTTATCTGTTGATTACTCAACCCAGATCAGGCAATTTCTTGGCACGAATTCTATTGGAATTTCTAGTTCAAAATCTGACCAAAATTGCTATCAAAAGTACCTAGAAATTTGCTTTATTTTCTGCTTTATTCCCACTGTACCAATTGCCATATTGCATCATGGTTTCGCTAGATTTTTAGCTACTATTTTCCTACTCTAAAATCCCTTGTTATTGCTTTGTTTTGGCTGCCTTTTTGCTACTGCATTTATGCTTGAATGTTGCACTGTTTTGCTGTTGTTTTTACGCAGAATTCTCTGCTATTTTGCCCAAAAAATCAATGTTGTTCAAGGCTTTTTCCAAGCATTTTGGGACTATTTTAAATAGCAGAAATCTCTACCTTATTGCCCAGCTTTTGTGCTACTACTTTGGGTAGTTTTGAGCTTGGTTTCTCACATTTTTCCACTTTGTTTTGTCCAGGAAATTTGCCTTGTAAACCCACCATATGTAGGGTCTTTTATTGCTATTTTAGGCATGTTTTAAGTATGATTATGCATAGGAATATATATATATATATATATGAAGATATTAATAGGGTTTTAATGGGTAGAAGTGACTAGAAAGGGTAGGAGGAAGTTGTTTCTTTGGTTAGGAACTTGATTTTGGAAATTGGAACCAAATTAGTTAAATGGATTATGTTGTAATCTTATTTATTCATTGATTTGTATAG